ATGTAGGTATATATAAAGTAATATTGACGATAGTGAGAACTATGCCTTCTTTTTCTTGTGAAGTGGAAGAAGCTGACTTAAGGGGAAAACCTCGGAGAGGATTATTACAAATCCTTGCTCAAGCAGATGGAGGGTCCTGAAACTGATTCTTCAAGCCATCTCTGCCCATATGTCCCTTGGAAAGCCTCCTGTACAGGCAGGTGTGTTCACACCCCACTTTGAAGAGTGTTGGATTGAAGTATATTGAGTTTGAAGGCTCAGCTTTACCTCTAACTAGAAACTCTTGGCTGGCAGTTGGAGGTGCACCTCTGTAGTATGGCAATTTCCCAGGCTCCCACCTCCTGAATGCTAGGTGTACCAACACTGGCCTCATCCATTCATTTGCTGTTACACTTGTGAGAAATCAATGGGCCAACTGTTTTCAACACTGCTGCTCACCTTAGTGGCCACTGTTACCATCCAGGCCATCAGGGTGATTGATGATGCTTCATTGCTTGTGTGACTCTCTACAGTTACACACGTTTTCCCTGCTGCTTACATTGCTAATTGGTTCTATGAAATCCATGGGATTGCCCATGGTAAATGGTGAACAAAGCAGGAAAATTAATGTTCTCTCACATTACACAAATAGGTTCATAGTCTGTAGACTGTTCTTTTCCACTTCATATATTGGGAAGATTCAAAAAAGTACAGTGTTGTGTCTAAAACTACTACAGATGTTCTATTACTTTGTAAATATCTCCTGTACATAAGAAATATATAAATAGTTTCAGCTCTTTACTATTAAAATCAGTGACTTAACAAATGTTCCCATAAATATAGTTTTGTGCATTAGAATAAATTCTGAATGATAAAATCGCTGGTCAGAGAGACTACATATTACACATTTTGATAGGTTATCAATAATTTACCTGTTATAGGAAGGAAGTAAATATGACTTCTTGGGTCTGGAGGGATGACTCAACAGTGCTCAAACTGCACCCACATTGGGCAACTCACAACCACCAATAATGTTAGCTCCTGGAACGCCAGTACCCTTTTCTAGACTCTGCTGGACTCTGGAAACCTGTACACACACACACACACACACACACACACACACACACACAAAAAATAAATCTTTAAAGAAAACAATAGAAATTGACTACACCCTTCTGAATGCAGGTTATCACATTTTAATTTATTCACATTATTATGTAAAATTAGGCATCTCGGCTTTTGGGTTGAGCTTTATTAATTTTGTAAAGTTGGATATCCTTTTATATTCTTTTAATAAAGTGTTCCATTTTTGTTGAAAATTTATTTCCAGGAACATTACCAAAGGGCACGTCCTAGCTGTTCTCAAAAGTAGAAACTGATGATAAGCTATAGGGTCCAGCGTGTTCTCTAGCTTTGCCAGTTTTATTTCCTAGCATTTTACTCCAGCCCCCATGTCTCGTTCATGAAAAATACTTATTAAACATGTATTATTTGCAGAATAATGACAGGCACTCTTTGAAAGTCAGACTTCATTAGATGAGGAAATACCACTAAATCTCCATTTGTGGGGCTATCCACTAAGGCAAAGAATCAAAGTCTTAGCACTTGGCCATTGCTTCTCCGTGAGTACAATTTTTTTGTACTGCCTAATTTTTCCATACGAAAACATATTAGCCTCAACTACCTGTTGGCTATGCAGTGGAAATGCTGTAATCAAAAAGGTCTCTTCTTGGGGCAGCCTCCCTCTGAAGTGAAGAGTTCAGTGTCTGACTTGAATGCAGCCAACAAAGGGAGTTTCTGAGGCTAGCACCCTAGTGCTGAGGTAATCTAGTCCCTGCTGGCATCTCTAGTCCGGTTTTGTTTGTTTCTTTAGTTGGTTAGTTCATTTATAATTTGTTAGGTTTATAGCTATAGGCCATTACTTACTGGTTATTCCAAGTATCTGATGCAATTTCTCCTTCAACTGCTAACAAGCAGGAAGTGGGTAGCCTGTGAATGGGTTTTAGACACAGAATGCATGGACTCCTCTCCCCAATGTCCAGAGTCCAAGCTTGCTAGCATGAGTGAGTGCAGGAGGCAAAGAGTTAACTTTCTAAGTGGTGTGTGTTGTGATGATGATTCTAGTTAAATCCCTCTCCCTTCCTCACAATCACTTTGGATTGAGAAATAGGGCAATTTCTTTGAGTACAAAAGCACTCTCACCACATAGTGTTAGCCACTTAGCTCTTGGGCAGGCATATAGGTGATCCTGGACACTTGAAATCTTTCTAGAAATATGGATTTAAGATAACATAGGCAATCCTTACTCTACATGATAATGCAGGAATGTAAAATGGCAGCATAGGACAAAACTCCGCAAAAGATCTTAATAATTGGGAAAAATACTATACCCAAGCATCTTGGTTAAGACCCTAAATATAAAAACTCTGCTCGTTGCAGACATATGTAAAGGTGAAATAAATTCAGGTAATGTTCATGTGGTTGGTACTACATTATAGAATGTTAGAAATATGAAGACAGTGAGGTTGGTGATGGTGTTGCAGTCAGTAAACATTCACCAAGATCGGTTTCTGTAGTCCTGCTTTCTTGGCTGTAGTGACATTATGTAGTGAGGGCTAGTGTTGTATCTAACACTTGCCCACTGTTTGCTTCATTTTGATCTGCTTCTAGCATTGTATTTTCCTGCTTTCTCTGTCATGAGACACCTCTGAGAATTCTCTGCAGGCAGCCTTCCTCAGCAGCATTTCTATCGTTTCTGACACAACCCCTTTCACTTGTCAAATGTGCCACTACTGATACCTTTGGCTGTGTGCAAATGAGGGAGTGTCAGGGTCCCCGGCACAAACTATTTCTTCTGTTATTTCACCTCTGTTTGATTCAAATTTTACTCCCAGTATCAACATTTTCTTTTTTTGCTGCACTTTTATATTTGTTGACTAATTCTGTGGAGACAAGGAGTCACATGGATGAACTGACCAGCAGATAACTAGTATCCAGGAACCAATACACTTTGAAAGAAGTGACCCAGTTGGTTATTGGTCATGATGGACACCTGTTTGGTGTGGGGTGCAAAGCCAGCAGTGAGGTTTGCAATTTATAGAGTGATATTAACATACCCTGGTGTGTGAAGTTTGAGCTGTGCTCTTGAGGAACTGATGCTGTTAGTTAAATCATGATAACTAAATATATGTTTATCAGGACTTTGCAAAGCAAAGATTGGTGTAATAAACTGCTGTCATATTGTGCAGATTGCATATGAATTCCACCATGATTATCTTTTGTTTGGGCATGGTTATGTGTAGACAGGCTCATCTTGCTAAGACTGTTTAGAGGTGACTTGTTCTCCCTATCAGGATAGACTGCATGTCCTGTGATAAAGAATGACTTCTAAGTTCCACTGATTGGTGTCTCCCATTGCACATCGCCAGGCAGGAGTGAGAGTTGATTTGCTATTAGTCAGCACTCTGACTAAGAGAGGCTCCAGACCTTTGTGGGCACCTAGTAGGAACTGTGGACACGATGCAATATGTAGTATCTCCCAAAATGTGTCACTTAAAAGTGATAATTTTATTCTGACAAAGTCATAAATCCTGCTCAAAGAGAGTAGAGAAGTGAAATCCACAGTATCCAAAGAGTTAACCTGGGGACATTTGTTTGGACAGGACTGAGTTTACAGACAGTTATGTCAGATTATACCTTTGCTAACTGAGCCCAAGATGTGTATATCCAAAGTCTAGGAGCCTGGGTACTGAGAAATATGACAGGAGTCAGGATGAAGCTAAGAAGTTGCAAGCCTTGGAGATCAGAACTCAATCCAATGAGAGCTCTGAGACAAGCAAGCATTTTAGAATGGCTCTAGTCTCCCATGGCTGCTGTCTTAGCCCTGTGTGTGCTCCCAGTTCTGGGACACCCAATAGAGATGACTTTTAAATTCAGTCTTGAGGGCAGTGTAGGCCATGGTTGTCAGAAAGGGATGATAAATTAAGGGGGAGAGGAGACATGAGCACAGCCAGTGTAGGGTACTTAGATGCTAGGAAAAGGTAAGGGTCTGACCTTCTAGGGGGGCAGAATAGGAGAGCTTGGGACTCAGTCTCCTAATGATCTCTTGTTATTACCATTCTGTTCTTGATGCTGATCTATTTTTAACCATGACTATATTAAACTCAATAAATCCTCCACAGTATATTCAGATGGCTGCCCTTAATGTGCCCTGTCTCATAGTTTTCGGTGTCATTACTGCATAACACTTAAAATCTACCTACTTACAAAGACTACTTAGAATCGCTACATACATGTGTTCTCATTTTAACCTAAAGGTGATCCAAACATCCTGTCCAAATGTTCTCTAACAATCCCAATTAGAATAAGAAAATATTTAAGTCAAGCAGGAGCTATTTGAACTTACATCTATATGTCTTGGCACATTAGATGGGATATTTGGAAAACAGATTTAGTGTGTAATGGCCAATTTTGGTTTGATACAGTCATAGCTGGGATAGGAACAGCAAACTGAGTCAGTTATAGCCTAATGGCTACATTATATAGAAATATTGCAGGCAAGAGCTTTCAAATAGCTGATCTATATTCTTGGACATACTGTTTACCTAATAACTGAGTGTGGATGCTTTTTCCTAGACATTTGGTGTTCTGTCTTTAGCATTGTACCCACTAGCTTTTGGGTAGTGCTTTACCAGTTTCCTAAGAACAGTGCTAAAGGGGTCTTGGCTGACATAGAATTGCCATGTTGTGTCCTTGGCACAAGCAGGCTATGTTTACTGCTTCATTATTGAGAGTGGCTTCCTCTAACCTTGTTCATGCTGTAAGTGATACCATATGGTGGTTATCCACTGTTGGACAGGGAGTGTGCTCCAACAAACACCAAAAGTTTTGCTACTTACTCAGCTTTGTAATTTTTTTCCATGTGACTATTGCTGATTTGGGGAGAATATATTAGTAAGAGGTTTAAGAATCTTTCAATTATCTGAACTGTCTATAACATGAACATTTGTTTTTAAAATTAGGGCAATACACTTTCTTCAGCAAGACCAACCAATGTATTAGAAATGATGAAGGAATGGAAAAATAACCCAGAAAGTGATGAGGACACTAAGACAGATGAGAAGACTAAGCAGCCCATGAAAGAAAATTCGAAAAGTAACCAGATCAGGGGAAATGTCCTTAATGTCAACAATCCATCTGCAAAGACAGCAAAACAGGTAGGAGGAACCATTGTGGCAAGCTCCACTGCTCAGCACTTTCCTCACTGGGGACCTTTTGTGCAGCTCCATCATTTCACTGCTGGTAACAAAGGCCTGCATCATGCAGCAGGTGAGGTTCTTCTGCCTTCTAAGCCATGCGATTTAGCAGCAGGGCCTCATATTTAGGATCTGTGGTTATTTGGATTAAGGCTGTTGACTTTTCTCTGTGAGAGAATGCATGCAGATTGAGCTTCCCTAATCTGCACATCCAGCAATTTCAGATGAAGGACACTCAAACTGTAGTAAGTGCTGTAGGCTCTGTTGTAACTACTCAGCTCTCATGGGCCAGCATGGACACTGCCACAGTCAGCAATGAGCGAACATGACTTTGTTCCAGCTAAGCCTTTTCTGATGAAACAGATGGTAGGCCAGATTTGACCCATGGCTCCAAATTAATAAGTTTTGTATGCTACCCAGCTATAGAATTTAGAATTGGTTTATATATTATATGCAAAAAGGTACTCATTATATTATAGAGTTATTTGTGTATTGTTTCATAAAAACCCAAACTACATAGGTGTTACCTGTGGTATAGTTTTATTACCATTTTGATTCTAGATTGTATTCTATTAATTGGATAGCAGATGGTTTGCCCAGGCAACCCCTTTCTTTATATATATATATTCTGTTTGGGTTCCCTCTCCTCTGTCTCAGTCCTAGCCCATTTTAAACTCTGCATCCTGTGCTCAGGAGAGTCAAGACTTCTTCATTTGTTGTTGCTTTCCAGTCAGTCCCCCGTAGCCAACAGATAGGCAAAGCACAAGGGGGACTGTCCAGTTGAGCCCTGCTCCATGCCCAGGAATGCACAGTACTACTGGCCCCACTCACAGCCAAGATTCCTTCCAGAACCTTGCAGAAGGGTCCTGGGAGAGCAACCTCCTGGCTGGGAAGTTCTGTGTCTACTGGATAGTAAATGTCTGGATAAGAAGCTTAACACAGTGACTTAGGCTATGTGAAAGAAACTTTTACAATAATGTAAACATAAGCTTATTGAATTCCCTTTTTGTTTCATATGGCAATGACTCCTACATTGCTTAGCACGATGTGTATTTTATATTCTCTTTAAAAATTACATCAGAAAACTCATGTTTACATTTCCATGGTTGGACATAATTTGAAGGTTTTCTGTTGGCTGACAAGGCAGCATACACATACACATAGTTACACATGTGCACATCTGTATATACAGTATGTGTGTATGTTTGTGTAGTGCATATATACATGCATCTATATGTACACATATGCAAAGATACACACCGCACATGTTTTCTGTGGTTCTGGGTTATAGCTGTGTTTTCAGTGAATGTGACGTAAAATTCCCTTGTGGGTCACGTGCAGGCGATCTCCTTTCCCATTCCTCTGTCATGCTTTCTCCTCTATCCCAGACACCCTGCAAATCACGGCTAATGTGACCTGTTCTGGTCTTGGCTACTTCACCTAAGGAAGAAATGGATTATAATGGGAGTTTTGTCATCTATTTTTAGGACTTTAACTAGTCACAAACCTATAACATGGCATTTCATTTCAGCAAGAACAGCTGTTCTGCACTCAGGGCTCACAGCATTGGTGAACAAGGCCTGGCCATAGTAGCAGTCCCCTCCCAGGATTGATAGAAAGCTTGCTGGTTGCAGTGTTTCTGTAGCTGTTCCTGCAATGCAGGCAGCATTTTTCCTTCAGTGACTTCTAAGGAATTTTCCCTTGCTTAGGCTTATCTGTAATATCTTGGGAGGAATTTAACATTGGGGATTTTTTTTCTGAAGTCTGTTGCCCCCTAAAAGAGACAGATTTCTCATACATTTAATTAGCTTTTGCAAGTAAGTATACTGTTTTCCTAATTGTGTCAAAGTTTGTGCTAAAAATTACTTGTAGCCTTTCAAATTTTTATTAACAATAAATAGCAGAGTGTGGAAATCCTGAACTAAGTGGAGTGAGTGTAATGACATCACTGGAATTCCCAAAGCATGGGGTCAAGACTTCTGTGTTCCACAAAGCTAACACACACACACACACACACACACACACACACACACCCCAAAACAAACAAACAAGCCCACCTCCACTGTCAGGCAAAGAAAAGTGGTCTTGTTAGGACCACATTGCCCTCTTCCTCTCTCGGGGCATACCACAGAGACCACTCCAGACCCTTCAGTGGGGTCGGACCAAAGCTGTTTAATTGATAACCAGGAACTGGTTTGCTGCACTTGGGATTTGAAATAGTTCTTTCTGTGGCTGCCAAGAGAGGGGCACTACCAGAGCTATGAATTACAGCTATTAACAGACTCTGGTTCTACCAAACTTGAGAGTTTAAACAGTATTTCCATGTCTTCAAAAGCCACCTTCAGATTCACCAAGGGAGTAAGAAGATGACCACAGTGGCCAGAAGTGCACTCTGTGCCCAGCTGGATTAGTGGCTGTTGCCCACCCAGCAGCTCAGCCTAACTACAGAGCATACCACTTGTCTTGCCAGAAAGCAGAATAAAGCCAGTGCAAAGGCAGCAGCCTAATCATCTAGAGATCTTGAAGGCAAGCTCTGCTGGCCAGTGACTTTTCCAGCCGGGGTGACCACCACCATAATATAAGCAGTGAAGACCTTTGTTTCCAAAGTGCTCAAAGATGGCAAGGTAGCTGCTTCTTCAAATATGAAGGCCCAGTGGTAGAACATGGGCTGACAAATAGTAGAGAGCCAGCACACATCTTTAATCCCAGCACTCAGGAGGAAGAGGCAGGTGAAATCTCAAGTTCAAGGCCAGTCTGGTCTACAGAGTGATTTCCAGGACAGCCAGAGCTACATAGAGAAACCCTGTCACATAAACAAAAACAAAACAACAAAGACAGTATATCATCACAACCTCCAAAAAAAAAAAAAAAAAACCCACAACAATGGACACCAAAGAAAGGGATAACTATGCCACATCAGAAAAGAGAATTTACAATGCCTCTTAAAAATTCACTGAACCCCAAGAATATATAGACAAAAAGTTAAATGAAATTTGAAAAGAGTGTATGAACAAAACAAATAGTTTTGCAAAAGTAAGCAAGAAAGAAAAGAAGGGAGAGCAGGGAATGAGGGAGAGAGGAAGAGAGGGAAAGAGAGAGAGAATCTAAACAATGGATTAATAATATGGGTCAAGTAAAAATGCAATAGAAGCTTTAGCAGCTCAAAATAAGGAAGAGTGAGATTGAAGACAGAACATTTGAAATTTGTCGATCCAATGTCAGAGAGAGAGGGAGAGAGAGAGAGAGAGAGAGAGAGAGAGAGAGAGAGAGAGAGAGAAAGAGAGAGAGGATTATGAAGAAAGGTTATAGGAATTGTGGGCTACCATCAAGAGATCTATTCTATGTGTAATAGGAATTAAAGAAAGTGAAGAGAGAGAAATAGAACCAAAAAAGCATATTTAAAGAAATATAGGACAAATGAGGACAAGTGTGATGGTTGCACATCTTTAATCTCAGCACTCAGGAAGCAGAGACAGCTGGATCTCTGTGAGTTCAAGGCCAGCCTGTTCTACATATAGGGTTTCAGGCCACCCATGTCTACATAGTGAGACTCTGTCTCAAAAATAAATAGATAAAATAATTTTTTAAGTAATGAGAGGAATTTTCCGTAATCTGAGGAAAAAGCCAACATTAAGTCAAAGGAAGTTTACATACCTGCACTCAAATAGAATGCAAAGGAGAGCTCCCCATGTCACACAAAGAGACACTACCAAACATCATGACAAAGAAAGACCTCCTAAGAGGATCAGCATAGGGAAGAAGTCATGTTGTACAATCTTAGAACCCTGCAGGCTGGGAGAGGCAGGGTGATAATGTCAAAATGCTGAAAGGGAAAACCACCAACCAAGAAATGAAGGACAGAGATGACTCTCCTAGACAAATGAAAGCTGAGGGGGTTCATTAACATCAGTTAAGTCATATCTTACAAATATGCCAAAGGTAAGTCTTCAAATTAAAAGGACACTAATGTATAACGTAAAAATACCTGAAGATACAAAACTCACAGGTCAAAGTAAAACTCAACACACACCTACACCTGAAAAACCCAACCAGCCAACCAGCCCTCCACACCACAATTGTAAGACAAACTACTTATATTCCAGATGGGAATGTTAGAGGACAAAGCACATATAGTTACCATAATTAATAGTATCAAAGAGAAATTGAGACATCAGAGATTGAAAATGTGGGGGCAACAGAGTTAAAATGTAGGGCATTTTTTTTTCTGATTGGCGTTAACGTTATTTGTTTAAAATAACCTATTGAAAATATAAGATGTCTTATGAGTTACTTTTCTTACTGCTGCAAGTAGATACCTGACAGAAACAATAGAAGTGAGTGAGTAAGAAGAGGCTTACTTTGGTTCCTGCTTCAGGGGATGCAGTCTTATCATGGAAGGAAAAGCATAGCAGCTGAGGTATTTTGCTGCTGACATTGGAACCTGGTCAGATCAGGCAGCCCATAGAAAATAGACAGAGCTGGACCAAAACCAGAGGAAATAAAACTCTCAAGGCCTCTCCTTTAGTAGCCTACTTTAACCACGGGGCCTACCTTCTTAAAGGAGTAACTTCTTAGAACAGCACCACCCAGGGACCAAGTAAATGTCCAAACAAATAAGTCTGACGAGAACATTTCAGACCCAAACTATAGAAGATGTGTGTAACATGATCAATAAAAGACCCAGAGACAGATATTGGGGTTCAAGCTGAAGAACAGAAAAGCAAAGCAGCTGGTCACTAGCTCTCACTCTACCTCAGACTGAAAGGTGATCCTATCTCCACCAAACCTCAGACTGAAGCCTCTCCTCAGTGTGTCTGGAGAATCCTGAGACTTCAATGTCTTCCTATTCTCAATGTGTCTGGAGAATGAATGTCTGATACTGACTACTGAAGACCCTGCTCCTATCTTTTATAGCCCTCTATTACTGGGATTGAAGGCATGTGATCCCAGGTGCTGAGATC